GCCACTCTTGGAGTTGGCGGGGGAGGGTCTGGAATATTATCATTGGCCTGGCGGCCTCTCCTTTGTCCATGAGGCACAACAGGGACCTTATCTTCAACATTATCATCTACTTCCTCCCCGACGGGAGATCTCCAAGAGGTGCATTGTTTAAGTTTGCTGCCATTTTATACCTGAAGTTGTGACACAAACAAATTAGTAACAAAGAAGGAAAGAAGAACAATACACAAATCTATCTAGATAGATAGCCAAAACCGTTAGTTCCCCGGCAACGGCGCCAAAAAGTGATCGAAGTCAACCCTGCACTACTATTGAATATCGAGAGAGGTCGAAGCAACTTTTACCCGATTAAGGTCGGGATCGATTTCCACAGAGAGCTAGAAGTTGGAGTTGAGTGTCTATCTAAAGTGGAAATGTGTATTTGCTCTTACTTGCACTTCTAAACATTTTGGGTTTTGATTTACTTCTAATTGTATAGAACTACAATGATCAATTAAACTAAAATAAGCTAAGATTAAACTATTGCGAGTTGTTCAAATGGATAAAAGGCACTAGGGTAGTGACTTTCACCTAGGTGCTCAATTGACGGATACTTGAGTCTAAGACATGATTGTTACATTTGGGGAGTATGATATAACTATTGCACGATTCTACTCACTTTATACCTCTCGGTAGTTCGAGTGATTTTTCCCGAATTGATTTTCTCAAGACCAATTGGGTATGCAAATTTGCACAAGCAATCAAGGTTCAAGTCGGGTATTACTATCTCTAGGTTTAACCTTTTAATTGGGGCTATCAATCTCTTGAGCACGCCCCAATTCCTTGTTGGACAAATTTCAGAGACTTAGGCTCTCTTTCTCAAGAAGAGCCAAAATCAACTAAACAAAAGCTAGTGTTTGCAACTACTAATTCAGCAATCAAACATGAAATTAGTCCAAATATCAAACACCCATGGTCAATCAAGCCCTAAAACACAAGACCCATCAATTATCCACACTAGGGTTGAGCCACTACCCTAGCTTATGGGTCTAGCTACTCATAATTAGAGAAGAAAACAAAGAAATAGATGAAGAAAAACTCATATTAATTAATTGCTAAATTAAACTTGAAGATTCAATGTTGAAATGAAGCTAAAATTACTCAAAATAGCTATAAATATCGAAGTCACGAGCGCAGCCTTCAGTACAAACTATCTGATGACCTAAAAATGGGAAAAGAAGCTATTTATACTAAACTGAAAAATCTGGACAAAAATACCCATGCGGGGTTAGTGCGGACCGCACAAAATCACGTGCGGCCGCACTATGGCCCTGAATTTGAATAAACGGCTCTCTGAAGTCGGGCAATGCGGACCACACAAAATCGAGTGCGGCCATGATGACTTCTAGTGTAGTCCGCATGAAATGGAGCGCGGACCGCATTGGGCTTCAAACTTGGAACTGGCTATTCTCTGAACCTTGGCTCTGCGGACCGCACTAAATCGAGTGCGGCCGCATTGATCCCAGTGCGGACCGCACAAAACCTCGTGCGGCTGTATTGCCTTTTTGCCTGAATAGCAGCCTCTCCGAACCTCACTTGTGTGGGCCGCACAAGCCCTGTTTTGCCTCATCTTTGTCTTGTCTTGATACTTGTGCAAGTTTTACTCCTTTTTTGAGCTGATCTTTGACATCTTGTCACCTTGTTGATCAAACCTGCAATCAAGCATAACTTGTGAGCCTTTGAGATTATTTTGTACACATTTCTAATCAAAACTTAAGCATGAAGGAGTATAAAATGTATCAAAATCTCTAGTTATCAGGGCCCACGTCTCGAAATACGATAAAAGTTACAAAACCCAAAAGCCCATTCACTCACGAGTCTAACCATACCAAATTTATCAAAATCCGACCTCATTTAGTCACTCAAATCCTCAAAATTCATTCTCCAATTCTCAAGCCCTAAATCCCCAAATTTCTAGCTCAAATCCCTAATTAGATGATGAATAAAGCCATAGATTCATGAAATTTGTACCACTATGGGTTAGAATCACTTACCCCAATGTTGCTCCTTGAAATCCTTCGAAAAATTGCCTCTCTCCCGAGTTCCTCAAGTCCAAAATTAAAAATGGAGAACAAAACCTCGAGTTGGGGGTTTTCTGCCCAGTAAAACCGCACCTGCGGAACCGCATCTGCGAAAAGGGCTCCACTTATGCAGGATTTCATTAAAAAAATAGACTCCGCTTCTGAGGTCGTCGCAGATGCGGGGACCAAGCCGCACCTGCGATCCAACTGCGCACCTGCGCCTCAAAATCCGCTTCTGCAACCTCGCACCTGCGATTCCCACTCCGCAAGTGCGGAAACACTAGCAATAGCAACTTCTGCTGCATTTTTCCAACTCCAAACACTCCGATCACTGCCTGAAATCACCCCGAGGCCCTCGGGACCTCAATCGAACATACCAACATATCCAACAACATCATACAAACTTAGTCGAACTTTCGGATCACTCAAAACAACATCGAAATTCCAAAATACCCTCAGATTCAAACTTAAGAACCTCTAAACTTCCGAATTCCACAAACGGTGCCGAAACCCACCAAAACACGCCCGAACGACCTCAAATTTTGCACACAAGTCAGAAATGACACCAGGGACCTACTAACTTCCAGAAATCTTATCCGACCCCGATATCAAAATTTTCACTGCCGACCAAAATCGCCAAAATTCTAACTTTCGCCAATTCGATCCTAATTCTACTATAGACCTCCAAATCAAATTTCGGACGCGCTCCTAAGTCCAAAATCACCTAACGGGACTAACAGAACCATCAAAATTTTAATCCGAGGTCGTTTACACATACGTGTCCCAATTCACTCCAAAACCACTCCGGACCTGAACCAACTAACCCGATAAGTCAAAATACAGTTGAAGAACACAAAAGAAGCAGAAAATAGGGGAACAGGGCTATAACTTTTAAAACGACCGGCTGGGTCGTTACATTTTGCTCCAAAATATATGTAATAACCGAGCATGCAATGGTGTCTATCTGAATTGATACTAACTTATATGGATCATTTTGTATTATTTGCAATTTATTATCAAAGCAAAGTTGACAGAAAATAATAGCTTCAATTTTTATAATATTGGGCCCGTGCTGGCACGAGCTACTATACCTCATAAACTAAATAAATTAAAGATGCAATATATTCAAACTTAGTTTGTTATCATTGTTTGATATGCTTTTTTTTTTCCTTTTCAATAAACTAGTCAACGAAATGTACATATTCGATCTTTCACTAAAAGTGTATTTAAAGAAAAATTACAAGTAATAAGGGTCAAACTTTTCATACTGAACTTATACGCATCTCAAGTTCGATCGATACTCCTTAAAACCAAAGTGATTATCTTCTTATAAATTGTTGTCACTCAAATTACTGATTTACATAATAATAAATATTTTTATGTGATTTGAGTATATCCTGCTTTATTATTTCAATACAAAATTCTCATATCTAAAAAACCAGTTAGGGGTAGTCCGGGTTTTGCCCGGGCCCAATGTAAATAAAGCTATATTATTTTATTATACATTGTGATATCTTACGATTTTAATCGTACTATTCTATGAACTTTCACTTGTAAAAATATTTTACGAATTTTTTAAATTATTTGTCATTAGTTATAAGTACTAAAGTGAGATATAAAAAGTAGTGTCATTTTTATATAATGACAATAATAACTAAAACATTTCATATTTGCATCGCCAATTAGCTCTGCACCAATCCAAGGAAAACCAACATATTGGACTAAAACAGCATAAAGATACTCTTAATATGATGTGATATTGTTTAATTTTGTCCACGGTTGCATGATTTTCTCCAAAAATCTCACATTATTAAGATTATTCAACTCTGCACTATCTTCATATTCGTCCCGTCAAATCATTCGCTCTAATACCAGTTGTTGAATTAAAACGGCCCAAAGATACTCATAACATGTGTGAATATTATCTGCTTTGGGATAAGCCCACACAGTTTTTTCCAAAATACCTCATCTACATAGTATGCTAAACAAAGGCACAGTAGTTTGTGGCGAAGCTTATGAAATGTTTAACACATATTTATAACTTAGAAATTTGGAAGCTATATAAACTCGATTCAAGTACTTTCCAATTTTCCCACTGTGGTTTAGTTTATGGCTCTAGGTGAAGCTTATGAAATGGTAAACACATATTTATTACTTAGAAATTTATAACTTATAATTACTCGCTAGTTCCCCGCCAATTCTTTGTTATTATTACTATTTGGAAATCAAAGTCATTTCTTTAACTATGTTTTCTCGGATCATTTTTAATTTTTTTTAACTATAATCTTGTTCTTGCTTTACTTGTGATAACTGTATAAATTAATTTATTTTGGGTCGAAACTCGAAATACCATAGGAGGATAAAATGATAGATGTAGGTGGTTTGAGGGGGTGATTGGGGGTAAATAGATTTGGCCTAATGTGGGTCCCATAGCTTGCACTGGTTTTGGTCTCTTATTTCCAATAGCCTAAGGTCAGGGGATCAAATTCCCTATCAACCTTTTGGTTTAATTTTTTTAAAAAAGGTAATGGTGAACCCATCCTCCGAAAATCCTGAATCCGCCTCTGGATTGTCATTGTTATCCGTAATGCTATACTTCTTTGGTTTGAAAGAAATTTATTTTTTATTTTTATTTCATATAGTGAGGAGGAAAAAATATATATTAATATTCAAAATAATTATTATTATAATTACTATATTCATATAATTTTTTAACACTCTTTATGACCATAAACTTAGAGATCTTGGTACTTGGTAGATACTAGGGATATGATTTGGTGCCTTTCAGAATTTTATTTTATTTTTTAGTTGTTTTTTTCGTAGAAAAGAGCCCCTCCAATTTAATGGGAAAAGGAAAAAAAAAAGGTCAAACGAGGGACTTAAAATTATAATCTGCAAGCTTCAGCATGGGTTGGACATAAGAACAAACTTAAGGAACTAAAAGCGAACATCCCAACTTCTAAATCTAACGTTCCCTTTTCCCCGCGTCGCCCCCGCGTGCGGTGTGAATCTAACAGCTATTAAATCCCGCCATGGCTAGGATTTCAAAGAATTGGCTCCAGAGGTGCGAATTTTTTTTTTGTATTGTTTCCTCCCATTTATTTTAGGTTTTGAATTACATAGTGTCTACTTCTTTTTTCAGTCTTAGGTCATTTTTCCGTTGCAGGTGGATGAAGATTTTGGTATGTGTTTGTAATGCAATTTCGAGAGAGTTCTTCATCGATGTCGTGAAAGGTTTAAACGTTTTTTAAAGTATCTTCCATAAGAAATAAGCTTGCGGTGAGTGATTGTTGCTTTTGTTTATGATTCAACTTGATAGGTAATTAAATGAATTAGGAGGATACAGTTTTACGCTGTTAATCACTAAATATGTTCCAATTTGGACACTCTATTGAATTTTGCTCTTATATTTTCCTAATTGGCATGTTTTATTTTATCTGCATTACAGAGTCATTGTTGCCTGTTGGTGAAAAAAAGAGAGTCATTGTTATGTTAGGGATCACGTGCTGTATTCTGTCCTTTTAGCTGGAGTTGTCTGTTGAAGTTGTGATACTTATAACAACAAACTAATGCTTGCGTAATGTTAAAACCTTGCTCTTTTTGAAATACCTTTAATCCGCTGTGCTTTCAAATGGCATTTGTTGGTTTAGAGCCCACCTGTATATTTTTCCGAATGGGAATTTTTTTTATTGTTTCTAGTAGAAAATGCAACTGGATAGAGCGGAGTGATTACATCGAATAGTAACCGACGCTAACTAATTTAGGATTGAGGCAGAGTTTGTCGTATAGTGGAAACACACTATAGCCTTTTAAGTTTGATTTGAGAGGTTATAAAAGAAGTTACTACAGTATACTTGAGGAAGCTTAGACCGTTTGTATTGATAGTTGTCTTGCTAGGAGAAACTGTTTCAGGTCTTCCTTCTTAGTGTTAACTGTGGGTCATGGAAAGTAAGTTATAAATTTTCTTTTGGTGGGGGGCAAACTAATACTTACTGTGTGGCGTAGTTGGGTTGGTTCAGTGCTCTGATCTTTATATTACTGGAGTTGTCATTGAGAAGTTGCCACCATGTATTTGATAATTAAAGAATCCCTAATACTGTAATACAATAAGATTTCACATTGTGGACAAACTTTTGTACATTATTGAGAACTTGAATTGCTGAAAAATCTTTTCACTTACTTTTCTCGAGAACTTATGACTTTGTATTATGTAAAGTCATGATCATCTTTTATCATCTTATTTGGGTGATGGTGGCTTGCTCTGAGAGGATTTACCAGTGATGGCTTTCTTCACCTTTGCAATTGAGTGCTTGACTTTTGATCCAACTCCTGACAATATATTCTGATGTTTCTTGTGAGGAACTCTGATATCAGCATCTCTCGAGACTTCTACAATGACTGGACCTTCAGAACATGACTCTTCTCTTGTTTGTTGACTTCCTTCCTCATCTTTGTCATTGTCTTTTTCCTTATCAGTTATTTCTTCTTCATCTTCAGACTCTTCAGTTTTGTGTGCCTGCAGGTCTTCTTTATTGATCATTACCGCTTTTTCTTCAGTCAAACTTTCCTCCATTTTTGATGTCTCTTTTACTGATTCATGCAGAAGGTCAGAAAGTGCGGCCTTAGCTTGTGTCTCTCTTGATCTGGATTCCTCTGGTGCTTCTTTTAAATCACATTCCACACCTTTCTCGTTTTTGTAATTTTCCTGATCCTCTTCTGTTTCTGAAGTTTTGCATTTTCCCTGCATGTGCTGGTTACTTTTGGCCATTGCACCCAGTTGCGCTAGTGGGGTAACGCTGTCTTTGGGCGTGCCATTGACATCCGTGCTGCCTGTTGGTTCAGTTTCCACCCTCTCCAATGCAAGTAAAGGATATGCTGCTTGCTCTTGTATCTGCTTAGTTACATTGCTCACCATGTTATCCGTTGCTATCTCCTTTTCGGAAACCTTAACGAATTCCAATGATGTGAAATGTTCTGTTATTTCTTCCCATTCATCTCTTGTTTTTTCCTCTTGTTCACATCCTACTTGGGCACTTGGAATATTTTCAGTCTTTTCTTCTTTCTCTGTTTCTTTTGTTCCATTGCTTGTTATCATCTCTTCAAGACCTGCTGCTGGTTTTTGTTCTGATCCAAAAGGTTTCAAAGTTCCTCTTTCAGGTTCACTTATTGTTGTTCCCTTCTCTTGTTGCACATGTGTTGTGTTGTTGCTTGAGGAATCTTTGCCAGTGCTCTCTCTTAAATCTTCTTGTTCCTCCTGTGAGTTCATATTTTACCGTCAGGAATCTTGATTGAATGTGTACATTGTAAAGTAAACAGGGAAGGAGGCAGGGGGGAGTAAGCAAAGATTGGAAGAATGTATTTTTGCTTGTACCTTTTAGCTTTTTTATTTTTTTAGTTTTGCCTTTTCCATCTTTGACATCCTGGACATCGGTTGGCTTCAGTAGACTTTTCTTTAGCCAGCTGTGGCAGATGGGGATTTCATCTTAGTGATCTTTCCTAGAGTAGTTTTATTGACTGTCCTTATAATGTCTGTATATTTTAAGTTAGTCTGTATCCAGCGAACAATTTACTATATATGATTCAAGTTTTTTATTTACATCAATACTTTGTTTTCTCTCGTTAACCTATGTGCTGAATATTTTATGCAGTTTGAGTTCAGTCATTTTCTGCCAGCAACCTCCTTACAGGAGGGAGTAAAACAGATCAAATCATGCAGGTAAAATATTGAAATGGAAGATAGATGCGCTATTTAATCTGACCTCTATAATTGGAGTCTTGATTTCCATCATAACACATTCGCCCTTTGATTCCTTAGCCTCTTCTGGGAGGTCTATCTCAGTACTTCCATGATTAACATTGTTGTTGTCATCGATATTAATTTTTCCCAGTTCTTCTAGTTTTTCGGATGTTTGTTTTCCAGCAGGTGAATCTTCAGTGTGCTCTTCTGTATTCATGACTGCACATATGTTGTACTTTATATGCTGCTTGTAATCATCCATTTCAGCTCCTTCTGACATCTACAGAAAAAACATTTTTTCTGATATAGGTAACTTCCACACATTTTTAAGAAGATGTATGATAAATGCATCCAGTTTCTAACCATTATGCTTTGGTTTTCCTCTCTCTTGTCAAAATTTTCATCTGTCTTCACTTCTGGATTTTCTTCCTGTTTTAACTTCTCCTGTTTGGTGCTGATGCTATTTTCTTCTTCAATGCAATCCGCACAGGAAACATCCTCTGTTTCTGATTTGTCAATAATCTGGAATTTGACCAGTCAACATTAGCAATTTTTTATGAAATACAGGAGAAAAAGGAAATGGTTAACATTTAATCAATTGATGCATGGTACAAAAAGCTTAATTACAATTTGCCTCCTGAACAGGTGCACTGTAAGGCTTCTCATGGTCTGCAGACCTTTGTAAAGAATTGGTGTCTGCTATTCCCACTGCCTGTTTCTCTTCACATACCTCAGCTAACTGATGCTTCAGTTGTTCCTGTGGATCTGCACAGCTTTGTAACATATTGGTGTACGTAACTACTGCTGCTTCGTTATCTTCACAAATCTCAGCTGCCTGATGGATAAGTTCTTGTGTGGATTCAGATATCTTTTCACTGTTTCTTCCATTTGTTTCTTTTTCAACCGGAGTATCGAACATATGGCCAATATCTGTTTCTCTGTTTTGTATCTCAAGCTTATCTGCAGCTGTGTTGTCCTTATTATGATTTTGGAACCCAATATCAGAGCTTTCAACCTGTAGAATGAGTCATTTCTAATTTGGTTGGTATTCAGAAATAACTGAAAGGGTGAGGAAATAGAGAAATTTCTGGAGACTGCTAGCAGGATTGCATGACGCGACTTAACATGATTGCAGTGCATATGCTGCCAACTTGAGATAATTCGTAAGTTCTATTCATGCTTCTTTAATGGTTGTATTGGAGGGGGAAACATCAAGTTCTGTTTTGCTAGTTTTTCTATAACTTATTTCCTCTACTGTTATAATTTAGTTCCAACTTTTAAAATTTAGAATTGCTTGTTTCTTGTAGCAGGTTGCAAATCGACATTCATGTCATACTCTGCCTGCTTATATGAAATGTTTCATGCAGTTGTCTGTACATAGTGCTCTCACAGCAACATCTCCTCAATCCTCTCGTTGCAGAAGGAAACATAAACTGAGAATAATATATTCCTCTAGGGATTTGTGACATTAACTAACTTGGAGTTGTGGCTTAGTTGTTGTTGTTCTGAAAATATCATGCAGCAGGAAAATTTAACTTCTAGGCTCATAAGCATGCAACAAACTCATAGATTCCCAGTAGATGCTTATCGGCTAATTCCTTGTAAGATCTTGCTTGTTTACCTTTTCTGTAGAGTCCTCCACCCTCTTTTCTTCTGAAGGAAGTGCAATGAAGTTCTTTGCTCCACTCGTGTCTTTAACCTCTTCTGGGGTTAGATTGTCTTGCTGAAAGTTCTTCACAATTAAAAAAGAGCAATCCAGTGATTTTAGAAAAAAGAGAGAATCAAGCATTTTTATTTTACCTTGCTTGGGTTAGATATATGAATTTGAAACAGGCTTATGTGATCATAGATTCTCAGTAGGTGCTAATCAGCTAATCTATTGTAAGGTCTTGTTCATTTACCTTTTCAATAGAGTCCTCCACCCTCTTTTCTTCTGAAGAAAGTGCAATGAAGTTCTCTGCTCCATGCGTGTCTTTAACCTCTTCTGTTGTCAGATTGGCTTGCTGAGTGTTCTGCAGAAATTAAAAAGAGCAATCCAGTGATTTAGAAGAAAGAGAGAAAGCAAGCATTTCTGTTTTACCTTGGGGGTTAGATATATGAATTGGAAACAGGCTTGTGTGGTCACTTAACCTCTTGATTGGGGGTTTCTGAAACCACTTTGCCTTCTTCAAAGTTATTTGCTGCCATCTCTTCTTTGGCTGATTTTAGAAGCTCATCTGGAGTCGTTTCTTCTTTTCCTAGGACATTCTTATTTGTCCCATCACCAGCATTGACATCTTTAAGTTCTTTTATCTGTTTGTAGGAATAGGTTTTGTTATGACCAGTTTAGGCACGTGAAAGATTATCAAAGCATTGATAGAAGGCCACTTAATACCTCAGTTTCAACTTCTTCGCAAAGTCTCGTTGTTTCTTCGACAAACAATTCTGTCTGTTTTCCAATCAAAGCTTTTTCTTTCTCTACTATATGTGTTCCAGATTCATCAATTCTTTCTGTGGCAGCTTCAGTATCTTCCCTATTTTGTTCTTTGGGTTCTTCTCCAACTGGTGGTTCTTTAGGTTTCTCTTCAACTGCTTGGTCGTCGGGTTTTTCTTCAGTGGGTGCTTCTTCAGTTTTTTCCTTAACTGTTGGTTCTTCAGGTTTCTCTTCTACTGCTGCTTCTTCAAAATTTTCAACTGCCGATTCCTCAGGTATTTCTTCAACTGACGGTTCTTCACCTTTTTCATCAACAGCTGGTTCTTCAGGTTTCTGCTCAACTGTTGGTTCCTCAAGTTTTTTGTCAGCTACTGGTTCTTCAGGTTTCTCTTCAACTGCTAGTTCCTCAGGTGTCTCTTTCACCGCTGGTTCTTCAGGTTTCTCTTCAACTGCTAGTTCCTCAGGTGTCTCTTTCACCGCTGGTTCTTCAGGTGTTTCTTTCACTGCTGGTTCTTCGGGTTTCTCCTCAACCGCTGGTTCTTCCGGTTTCTCCTCAACTTTTGGTTCTTTAGGTTTTTCTTCAACTGCTGGTTCCTCATGTTTTTCTTCAACTTGTGGTTCTTCACGTTTTTCATCAACTTCTGGTTCTACATGGTTTTCTTTAACTGCTGGTTCTTCAGGTTTCTCCGCAACTGTTGGCTCTTCAAGTTCTTCATCAATTGTTGGTTCTTCAGGTTTCTTTTCAACTGTTGGTTCTTGAGGTTTCTCTTGAATTGCTGGTTCTTGAGGTTTCTCTTCAACCGTTGGTTGTTCAGGTGTTTCTTTCACTGCAGGTTCTTCAGGTGTCTCTTTAACCGCTGGTTTGTTAGGTTTCTCCTCAACTGCTGGTTCTTCGAGTTTCTCCTCAATGGCTGTTTCTTCCAGTTTCTCTTCAACGATCCATTCCTTGGGTTTCTCTTCAACTGCTGAATCATCGAGTTTTTCTGCAACTGCCGGATGGTCAGCAACATCATTGTTGGTATCGCATGAAATTTCACCGTCAGTCTTGTCATTCGAGTCTACAACTGGCATATTCTACAAGAAGAATTTAAAGTTTCACTTAGTCTTTCAATAGCTAAGTAGATGTGAATTCCTTACACATACGGAACTAATAGGATGGTGAAATTCTTTTGGTTTCATCTCGCATAGGATTACTACACATGCTCAACTGTTCTGCAACAATGATCGTGATTGCTCAGAATATTTTGAGTGCTACCATTGTTTAGTATGTTTCATACACTGGTGAGAAAAGGACAAGGAGTTATGCATTTAAGAATCATTCTAACGAGAGAAGAAGGTGTTCATATCTTAATCTCCAGGTGGTTTTAGTAATTGTCAACTGCCGAGCACTATATCAAGTTAACAGATATCTACATGATGAGGTTTGGGACTTATAATTTTAGCAAGATTCCTGTTTATAACTGAAATACAGTTACCGTGGCCTAGTGGTTTAAGTCCTTGGTTTCTAGCTTAACGTCATGTGAATTCTCTTAAGGTCATATTTTGGAATTTCTCCCAGAAAGAGTTTCCACTGCCTCTTCCTTTATTAACTGATAATTCTCCAAGAAGAATCTCTTTCTTTTTGTCAATGTTAAAGAGTCTGCCGAAGAAAACCAATAAAATGATTAGAATAAATGCATGAAGGCATCTAGCTGCAATATTTGAAATTTGCTTAAACCTTCCCTTGCAACTTATTGTTTCAAAGACTCAAAGGAATACTCGATTTGCAATGTCAATGGTCAGTTCTTTTTCAGAAAAATAAGTCATACCCATTTGTCAGCATTTGGCTAATTTTTGTTTCGGCTTATTTTTCAAAAGTCGCACATAAGAATCCCAATGATACTAGGATGTCTCACTTGTTACAGCCTCGAACAAAATAAATAAATAAACAAATAAAAGATCAAAGATGGTCTACATTTGTGCAATGGAATATACTCTATCAGCAGAGAATTAATTTTCTATTTCTTGTATATATCATCTTATCATGCATTGCTTCCCATTTTATGCAATAACTACAAAATAAACAAAAACTCTGGGAAAGGAAGTGAAGACTTATTTTGTTTTGTACGGAGAACTTTAAATTTATAGTAGTTAGTAGTTACTAAGAACTGTATACTTCGAATACTTTCAGACTTGAATTTCAATGTTTCTTCCAGAAAGACAAGGTGGCACGAGAATTCATATGCATGCAATAAACTTAAGACCCTCAGTGAATGGTTGCCATATGAATGCCTTGATGTTAATTGGCTGATTCATTCTCAGGTTCTCATTTCGTTTACCTTTTCAATAGAGCCTTCACAGCTAATTTCTTCTGAAGAAACTACCATGAAGTTCTCGATTCCACGCTCATCTTTCAATAAAGCTTCATCTCTGATTAAATTAGCTTGTTGAAAGTTCTGCAGATTTGAAAAAGAGGGTATTTAAGTGATTTTAGTAGAAAGAGAGGACGCATCTTTATATCTGCGAGTTACATATATGAATAAAGAACAGGCTTCTATGGTCACTTAACCTCTTGACTGGGAATCTCTGAAAGCACTTGGCCTTCTTCAGAGTTCTTGGTACCAATTTCTTCTTTGGTGGACGTCAGAATTTTGTCCAGGGTCTTTTCTTCTTTTTCCATAATGTTTTTATTTGTTCCATCACCAGCATTTATATCTTTAAGTTTGCTTATCTGTTTGAAGTTATAGTTTTGGCTATCATTAGTCTATGGACAGGAAAGATCAGAGTATTAATAGAAGCCAGATCATTTAATACCTCTGTTTCAACCTCTTCACAAGATCTCATTTTTTCTTCAACAAACAGTTCTTCCTGGTTGCGAACAGAATCTTCTTGCTTCTGTACTATACATTTCCCCCTTTCATCACTTTGTTTTGGTACTTCTGGTCCTTCTGGATGCTCGTTTACCTGCATAACCAAGTAGCTCATCAAGTTTAGAACAATAAGGATGAAGAGCAACTAAATTATTTGCTTAACCAAGTCTGCTTGATCCTTCTCTATTAGCAATATCACTTGCCTCACTTTCTGTTCCTTTACTTGAATTTGGATTTATCTCAGATTTTGTGCTTCCTGAAATTTCTTGCCTGATTAGATCCTCTTGACTATTAATGTGCACAGCTTCACCTTCAGCGAACATGTTCTTATTTAAGAAACTATCCCCTGTCGAAGTATTTTGATTTTCATCACCTGCAATATGTCGGTAGTAGATGTTAATACCACATCTAGTCATTATTGAAGTGACTAGAAATCTTTGAACCCCCAAAAAGGTGCTTGTTACATTCATATAGCAATTTACGACTTAATGAATGCTGCTAGTCCTAATATCTTAGCAACAGCATATCATAGGATTTCTTTATTATATCCATGTAGTAATAAATTAATTATGTTCATGTATGTAATGATAGATGATCATTATTGCTAAATACTGTGGATGTGCATTCTATTTTTTCAAGGTTTCTCCAAACCAGAAAGGCGCTTGTCTCTGGTGCTTCTCTCCATTTCAGCTTCCTTTTAGAGATTGGTTCCATTTTTATAATTGTTTTTTCTACTTTTTGCGAGTGATACTATGGTTAAATCTCTTGGATCTGTTCTCTAAAGAGTATCACCATTTTCCATTGCAAATAAAATCAATTGGATAGGGAAAGCATGTCTGTGAACTAGTATTACTCACTCTGTGGTGTAAACTTCTGCTCTTCAGTGAAAGAAGCCTCATCCTTCTGCTTTATGTTATCTTCATCTCTCTGCATTGCCTCATCAATTTCTGATATTTCTTGAGAATCTAGCTGTTGCACGTTTTTAGGTTTGTCAATACTAATTGGTTCTCCCAATATTGGGTTGGTCATTGTTGTCCCTTGAGCAGGCGGATGGCTTAGAATAGCTGTTGGCAGACTGCTGCTTGCTTCATTTGCATTCTGGTTAAGCTTTGCCTCTTTTATGGGAGCTTCAGTTACTTCCCTGCTTTGTTCTTCCGGCTTTTCTTTAACTAATGGTTCTTCAAGTTTCTCTTCAACCGCTAGTTCTTCAGCTTTTTTGTCAACTACTGGTTCCTCAAGTTTTTCTTCAACTGGTGTTTCCTCAGTGTTCTTTTCAACTGCTCGTTCCTCAAGTTTATCTTCAACTGCCAGTTTCTCAAGTTTTCCTTCCATTGCTGGTTCTTCAGGTTTTTCTTCAACTGTTGGTTCTTCAGGTTCAACTGCTGTTTCCTCAGGGTTCTGTTCAACTGCTCGTTCCTCAAGTTTATCTTCAACTGCCAGTTTCTCAAGTTTTCCTTCCATTGCTGGTTCCTCAGGTTTTTCTTCAACTGTTGGTTCTTCAGGTTTCTCCTCAACTTCTGGTTCTTCATCCTCAACTGCTGGATTATCAGCAACATCTTTATTGGTGTTGCATGTAATTTTACTGCCAGTCTTACCATTTGAGTCTACAACAGGCATATTCTACAAGAAGAATTTAAGGTTTCACTTAGTCTTTCAATAAATAAGCATATGTGAATTCCTTGCACATACAAACTATTAGGATTGGCAAACTTTGTGGTAGTGCTTGATCCTCACCTTTTCGCAGAAAGTTACCTTTTCAGGTTTCTCTTTTTCAGTTGCTGGTTTATCAAGTTTTTCTTCAACTACTACTTCTTCAGGTTTCTCTTCAACTGTTGGTTCTTCAGGTGTTTCTTCCAATGCTGGTTCTTCAAGTGTTTCTTCCCGTGCTGCTGGGTTTTCAGGTTTCTCTTCAACTAGTGTTTTTTCAGGTGTCTCCTCAACTGCTAGTTCTGCAGGTTTCTCCAATATAACTGCTGGTGGTTCTTCATATTTTTTTTCAACGGATAGTTCTTCAGGTTTTGCCTCAACTGCTGGATAGTCAGAAACATCATTGCTGGCATTGCATGGAATTTCACTGTTAATCTCGTCCTTTGTATCTACAACTGGCATATTCTGCAAGAAGAATTTAAAGTTTCACTAAATCTTTCAATAGATAAGTAGATGTAAATTCCTTGCACATATAGAGCAAGGAATCCCTGTGACAGTGGTTGATCACCTTTTCCAGGAGAGTTACGGCTTCAGGTTTCTCTTTTTCAGTTGCTGTTTTTTTAGATTTCTGTTCAATAGCTAGTTCTTCAACTGTCTCTTCAACTGCTGATTCGTCAGGTTTCTCTTCAACTGCTAGTGCTTCAGGTGTTTCCTCCCCTGCTCGCTCTTCAAGTATGTCTTCAGTTGCTAGTTTTTCAGATTTCTCCTCTATCACTGATTTTTCAGGTTTATCCTCAACATTCGGTTCTTCAAGTTTCTCCTTAGCCATTGGTTCTTCAGGTTTTTTCTCAATGGCTGGTTCTTCAGGTTTTTCCTCAACTGCTAGATAGTCAGCAACATCATTGTTGGTATTGCAAGGAGTTGAGCTGTCATTCTTCTCGTTTAACTCTATAATTGGTATATTCTGCAAGAAGAATTAAAGTTTAACTTAATCTTCCACCAGGCGGATGTGAATTGTTGCACATACATAACTAATAGGATGGATAAAATTTGTGATTGTGCTTGATCCTCACCTTTTCCAAGAGAGTTACTTTTTCATGTTTCTCTCCGACTGCTGTTTTTTCAGGGTTCTTTTCAACTGCTAGTTCTTCAGGTGTTTCTTCAACTGCTGGTTCTTCAGGTGTTTCTTCAACTGCTGGTTCTTCAGGTTTCTCTTCAAATGCTAGTTCTTTAGGTGTTTCTTCCCATGCTGGTCCTGCAGGTGTTTGTTCAACTACTGGTTCTTCTGATTTCTCTCCAACTGCTGGTTCGTCAAATTTCTCCTCGACTGCTGGTTCTTCAGGTATCTTTTCCACAGCTGGTTCTTCAGGTTTCTCTTGCACTGCTGGTTCATCAGCTTTTTCCTTAATTGCTGGTTCTTTAGGTTTCTCCGTAGCCACTGGTTCTTCAGGTTTCTTTCCCACAGCTGGTTCTTCAGGTTTCTCCTGCGCTGCTGGTTCATCAGCTTTTTCCTTAATTGCTGGTTCTTCAGGTTTCTCCGTAGCCACTGGTTCTTCAGGTTTCTCCGTAGCCACTGGTTCTTCAGGTTTCTTTTCCACAGCTGGTTCTTCAAGTTTTTCTTGCACTGCTGGTTCATCAGCTTTTTCCTTAATTGCTGGTTCTTCAGGCTTCTCTTCAATTGCTTGTTCTTCATGTTTTTCTTCAACTGCTAGTTCTTCAGGTTTATCTTCAACTTCTGGATAGTCAGCACCATCATTGTTGATATTGCCTGGACTTTCAATGTCAATCTTGTCCTTTGAGTCTACAATTGGCATATTCTGCAAGAAAAATTTAAAGTTTGACTTAGTCTTTCAATAGATTAGCATATGTGAGTTCCTTGCACATATAAAGCTAATAGGATGGATAAATTTTGTGACAATGTTTAATCCTGACCTTCGTTTGGAGAGCGTCTGTTTCAGGTTTCTCCTCTTCAACTGCTGGGTTTTCAGGTTTCTCTTCTATAACTAGTTCTGCAGGTGTCTCTTCAGTAATTGGTTCTTCTAGTTTCTCTTCAACTGCTAGTTCTTCATGTGTTTCCTCTCCTGCTAACTCTTCAAGTTTCTGCTCAATATTTGGTACTTCAGGTTTCTCCTTAATCGCTGGTACATCAGGTTTCTCTTCAACCACTGGTTCATCAGTTGTTTCCACAATTGCTGTTTTTTCTAGATTTTCCTCAACTGCTGGATGGTAAGCAACATCATTGTTGGTGTTGCATGGAATTTCACAGTCAGTCTTGTCGATGGAGTCTACAACTTGCATATTCTGTAAGAAGAATTTAAAGTTTCATTTAGTTTTTCAATAAGCAGATCTGAAAGTCTTGCACGTATAAAACTATTAGGATGGACAAACTTTGTGACAGTGCTAGATCCTCACCTTTCCTAGGAGAGTTACCCTTTCAAGTTTCTCATCTTCATTTGTTGGTTCTTCAAGTTTCTCATCTTCAATTGTTGGTTCTTCAAGTCTCTCTTCAACGGTTTGTTCTTCAGGTTTCTCCTCAACTGCTGGTTCTTTAGGTTTCTTCTCAATTATTGGTTCTTCACGTTTCTCCTCAATTGCTGGTTTTTCAGGTTTCTCTTCAACCGCTAATTCTTCAGGTTTCTCCTCAACTGCTGGTTCTTTAGGTTTCTTCTCAATTATTGGTTCTTCACGTTTCTCCTCAATTGCTGGTTTTTCAGGTTTCTCTTCAACCGCTAATTCTTCAGGTTTCTCCTCAACTGATGGTTCTTCAAGGTTTTCCTCAACTGCTACGTCTTCAGCAACATCGTCGTTGGTATTGCATGGAATTTCACTGTCAGTCGTATCATTGAAATCTACAACTGGTATATTCTGCAAGAAGAATTAAAGTTTCACTTAGTCTTTCAATGGATAATTAGATGTGAATTGTTGCACATACAGAACTAATATGATGGCAAAAATTTGTGACAGTGTTTGATGCTCACCTTTTCCAAAAGAGTTACCTTGTCAGTTTTTTCCTCTTCAACTGGTTCTTCAGGTTTCTCTGCTTGTTCTTTAGGTGTTACTTCCAGTGTTGGTTCTTCAGGTGTTTCTTCAATTACTGGTTTTCCAGGTTTCTCTTTAAGAGTTGGTTCTTCAAGTTTCTCCTCAGCAATTGGTTCTTCAGGTTTCTCTTCCGTTGCTGATTTTGCAGGTTCCTCATTAACTGCTGGTTCTTCAGGATTTTTCCTAACCGCTGGTTCTTCATGCTTCTCTTCCACTGATGGTTCTTCAGGTTTTACCTCAACCGCTGGTTCTTCAGTTTTTTTCATAAATTCTGATTCTTCAGATTTCTCTTCAGTTGCCGGTTCTTCATGTTTTTCCTCAACTACTGGTTCTTCAGTTTTTTCCTTAACTGCTGCAGAGTCAGCAATATCATTGTTGTTATTGCAGGGAGTTGCATTGTCAGTCTTGTCGTTTGAGTCTGCAATTGGTAAATTCTGCAAGAAAAATTTAAAGTTTCACTTAGTCTTTCAGTGGATAAACAGATGTGAATTCATTGCATATGTAGAGCTAATAGGATGGATAAACTCTGTGACACTGCTTGTTTCTTACCTTTTCCTGGAGAGTTACTGTTTCAAGTTTATCCTCTTCATTTTCTGGGTTTTCAGGTTTATCTTCAAGAACTAGTTCTTCAACTGTTGGTTCTCTAAGTTTCTCTTCAAGTGCTAGTTCTTCAGTTGTTTCCTCCCCTGCTAGCTCTTTAAGTGATTCTTTAGCTGCTGGTTCTTCAGGTTTCTTTTCAGCCGCTGGTTGTTGAGATTTCTCCTCGACTAGTTCGTCAGATTTCTCCTCAATCATTGGTTCTTCAAGTTTCTCCTCAACCATTTGTTTTTCAGGTTTCTCAACCACTGGTACATCTGGTTTCTCTTCATCAACGGGTTCTTTAGGTTTTCCTTCAACTGCTGGTTCTTCAGGGTTTGCCTCAACTTCGGGAAAGTGGGCAGCATCTTTGTTGGTATTGCATGGAATTTCACTGTCAGTCTTGTCGTTCGAGTCTACAACTAGCATACTCTGCAAGAATTTTGAAGTTTCACTTAGTCTTTCAATAAGTAAGCAGATGTGAATCGTCGCACATACACAACTAATAAGATGGATAAACCTTTTGACAATGCTTGATCCTCACCTTTTCTAGGAAAGTTACCCTTTCAGATTTCTCCTCTTCAATTAGTGGTTCTTCTGGTTTCTCCTCAACTACTGGTTCTTCAGGTTTCTTCTCAACTATTGGTTCTTCATGTTTCTCCTCAATTGTTGGTTTTTCGGGTTTCTCTTCAACTGCTAGTTCTTCAGGTTTCTCCTCAACTGTTGGTTCTTCATGTTTTTCTTCAACTGCTGGTTCTTCAAGGTTTTCCTCAATTGCTACATATTCAGCAACATCATTGTTGGTATTGCATGGAATTTCACAGTCAGTCTTGTCGTTGAAATCTACAGCTGGCATATTCTGCAAGAAGAATTTAAAGTCTCATTTAGTCTTTCAATAGATAAGCAGATGTGAATCGTCGCACATACAGAAATAACAGGATGGATAAACTATGTGATAATGCTTGATACTCACCTCTTCCAAAAGAGATACCTTTTCAGGTTTCTCCTCTTCAACTGCTGGTTCTTCTGGTTGCTCTTCAAATGCTAGTTCTTTAGGTGTTTCTTTCCATATTGTTTCTTCAGGTGTTTCTTCAATCAGTGATTTTTCAGGTTTCTCTTCAACAGTTGGTTCTTCAAGTTTCTCCTCAACAATTGATTCTTCAGGGTTCTCTTCCATCGCTGATTTTTCAGGTTCCTCATTAACTGTTGGTTCTTCAACTTTTTCTTCCACTGCTGGTTCTTCAGGTTGTACCTTAACCACTGGTTTTTCAGGTTTCTCCATAACCGTTGATTCTTCAAATTTCTTTTCAATTGCAGGTTCTTCATGTTTTTCTTCAACTACCGGTTCTTCAGGTTTTTCCTCAACTGTTGCATAGTCAGCAATATCATTGTTGGTATCGCATGGAATTTCACGGTCAGTCTTGTCGTTGAAATCTACAGCTGGTATATTCTGCAAGAAGAATTTAAAGTCTCATTTAGACTTTCAATAGATAAGCAGATGTGAATCGATGCACATACAGAAATAACATGATGGATAAACTATGTGCTAATGCTTGATACTCACCTCTTCCAAAAGAGTTACCTTTTCAGGTTTCTCCTCTTCAACTGCTGGTTCTTCTGGTTTCTCTTCAAATGCTAGTTCTTTAGGTGTTTCTTCCCATATTGGTTCTTCAGGTGTTTCTTCAATCAGTGATTTTTCAGGTTTCTCTTCAACAGTTGGTTCTTCAAGTTTCTCCTCAACAATTGGTTCTTCAGGTTTCTCTTCCATCACTGATTTTTCAGGTTCCTCTTTAACTGTTGGTTCTTCAGGTTTTTCTTCCACTGCTGGTTCTTCAGGTTTCTCCATAACTGTTGATTCTTCAAATTTCTTTTCAATTGCAGGTTCTTCATGTTTTTCTTCAACTACTGTTTCTTCAGGTTTTTCCTCAACTGTTGCATAGTCAGCAATATCATTGTTGGTATCGCATGGAATTGCATTGTCAGTCTGGTCCTTTGAGTCTGCAATGGGCAAATTCTGCAAGAAAATTTGAATTTTCACTTAGTATTTCAATAGATAAACAGATATGAATTCGTTGCACATATAGAACTAATAGGATGGATAAACTCTGTGACACTGCTAAAGGAGAGTTACCGTTTCAGGTCTCTCCTCTTTATTTGGTGGTTTTTCAGTTTTATCTTCAACAACTAGTTCTTCATCTGTCTGTTCAATCGTTAGTTCTTCAGGTTTCTCTTCAAGCGCTAGTTCTTCAGCTGTTTCCTCCCCTACTAGCACTTGTTTTTCTTTAGTTGCTGGTTCTTCAGGTTTCTCTTCAGCTGTTGGTTCTTCAGGTTTCTCCTCAACTGGTTCTTCAGATTTCTCTTCAACTGTTGGTTCTTCAGGTTTCTCTTCAAGAACTGGTTTTTCAGTTTTTTCTTTTACTGCAGGTTCTTCAGGGTTTTCCTCAACTTCTGAAAAGTGAGCAGCATTATTGTTTGTAATGCTTGGAGTTTTACTTTCAGTTTTGTCGTTCGGGACTACAACTGGAATACTCTGCAAGAAGAACTTTAAAGTCTTACTTAGTCTTTCAGTAGGTAAGCATATGTAAATTGTATCGTATACACGACTAACAAGATGGATAAACTTTGTGACAATGCTTGATCCTCACCTTTTCCAGGAGAGTTATCCTTTCATGTTTCTCCTCTTCAATTGTTTGTTCTTCAGGTTTCTCCTCAATTATTGGTTCTTCAGGTTTCTTCTCAAATGCTGGTGTTTCACGTTTCTCCTCAATTGATGGTTCTTCAGGTTTCTTCTCAACCGTTGTTTCTTCAGGTTTTTCTTCAACTACCGGTTCTTCAAGGTTTGCCTCAACTGATACATAGTCGGCAACATCATTGTTGGTATTGCATGGAATTTCACTGTCAGTCTTCTCATTGAAATCTACAACTGACATATTCTGCAAGAAGAATTTAAAGTTTCACTTAATCTTTCAATTGATAAGTAGATACGAATCTTTGCACATACAGAACTAATAGGATGGATAAACTTTGTGATAGTGCTTGATCCTCACTTTTTCCAAGAGAGTTACCTTTTCAGACTTCTCCTCTTTAACCTCTGGTTTTTCAGATTTCTCTTCAACTACTAATTGTTCAGGTATTTCTTCAGCAGTTGGTTCTTCAGGTTTCTCTTCAAATTCTAGTTCTTCCGGTGTTGGTTCTTCAGCTTTTTCTTCAACTACTAGTTCTCTAGGTTTCTCTTCAGCTGCTGGTTTTTCATGTTTCTCCTCAACCTCTGGTTCTTCAAGTTTTTCTTCCACAGCTGGGTTTTCCTCAATCGCTGGTTCTTCATGTTTCTCCGTAACTGCTGGTTCTCTAGGTTTCTCTTCAACTGTTGGTTCTTCATGTTTTTCTTCAACTGCTGGTTCTTCAAGTTTTTCCTCAACTGCTAGATAGTCAACAGCGTCATGATTGGTATTGCATGAAATTTCATTGTTGGTCTTGTCGTTCGAGTCTACAACTGGCATATTCTGCAAGAAGAATTTAAAGTTTCACTTAGTTTTTCAATAGATAAGCAGATGTGAATTCCTTGCACATATAGAACTAATAGGACGGATAAATTATGTAACAATGCTTGATCCTCATCTTTTCCAGTAGAGTTACCTCTTCCTTATTGTCATCCATGTTGCATTTTCCCTTCAAACCACCATGGATATCTTCTGAACTGGTGGCTGTATCAAGCTTATGGTCGGATGTTGTCTCTATAAGTTCCCCGAAAGATGAGTTTCCAATCTCGTCACCAGTGACATGCAAGAGTTCAGTGAGATTCTTTTCCACTTCATTTTCCAAAAGGATGTCATTTGACTTGTTATCTTTTGGAATTTCAGCAATTTCCTGCCCTTCTGCTGCAATTTCTGATGCTTCGTCATCTCTACTTTCTCTTTTTGAGCCTTCTGGCATGTCCAGCTGGTCAGTTTTCCTTTGCACATTTTCCTTGCACGCTACCTGTGAATCATCAACAATTTGGACATGGTTTTTTTCAGACTCATTTGCTTTACTTGCTCTGCGATCAATTATAGCGGCATTCTCAAACATCTTGGTTTGGTTTTCTTCTTCATGCCGGCTCGTGTTGGTNCTTAACATTTTCAACCTCTGAAGTTCTTTCAACCTCAGGTATTGGATGGACTTTGTTGTCTGCCTCCATGATCAGTTTGTCTGATACTACATATGCTTCGCCTAGCAAATTCTCTTCTTTTTTCTGCATGAAGTAAAAATGGTTTTGCTTTATTGTAGCTAAATTAAAAAAGAAATGTGTTTATCTAATATTGACAGAGCAGCACTCAAACATGAATTTTGTCAGGATAACCATAGCATATTAAACTGCATATATTAGCTGGATTCCTGTTTATAATTGAAACGGAGTTACTAACCCTGGCCTAGTGGTCAAATCCCTATTGCTCTAGCCTTTAAGTCCCAACGTATGACCTGCTCGCTGAACTTTCTTTGCCATGTTTGAGAATTCCCATAGAAGTAGTTGCTACTGCTACTCCCTTTATTAACCAATCAATATCCAACATGACCTATTTTCTCTTTGAATAATGTATCAGATATTTTTCTTTGATGAAGTGACTTCCATAGGAAACAATAAAACAATAGGAAATGCATGAAGACTTCTATATACGATATTTGAAGTTATCTTACTCCTAATAAGAGACAAGAGGGGTTGCTCTGATGGTAAGCAACCTCCACTTCCAACCAAGAGGTTGTGGGTTCGAGTTTCCCCAAGAGCAAGGTGAGAAGTTCTTGGAGGGAAGGATGCCGAGGGTCTATTTGGAAACAGCCTCTCTACCCAAGGGTAGGGGTAAGGTCTGCTTACACACTACCCTCCCCAAACCCCACTAAGTGAGATTATACTGGGTGGCTGTTGTTGTTGTTGTTGTTACTCCTAATAAGCTTTGGAAGGCACGTGCAGTACTGTTTATTTCTTGCAAGTGATTTGGTAGGGTCTCCTAAAGAAAGATACATTGTGGTTTTTCAGTTGGCTTACTTGCAGATATGACCTTGGAACAAGTTCCTTAACTTCTGAAATTGTACACACAAATTACCGGTAGGATCTCGTATTTCAATATTAGCTTGATCTGACAAAGAATTTTAGCTATCTTATTTGAATCAAATTTTTCACTGTGCATTGTCACCTATTGAGAATTTTAGAGGTCAATGACAAGTACTCATGCTACACCATTTATCTCCAATGTTCTTATAAAGTTTCAAGAATAGGAGAAGACTGATTTGAAAAATGTTTTCATAATCTCCTCCTGGTATGTGCTGAAGTGTGCAGCTTTCTTTCCAGGATAAGAAGTTTGTCTCACCCAATTAAAATGAGGAACGAGTTTTGGTTCTAAGCCCTTTTCCCTCCTAAAAGACCACACCTTAGACCATAAGAACCTTCTTTTTAAAATATACAGCAAATGGAAAAAGAAAATAGGTATCAATTCCGCGTTGTTTACATGTCACTGTGCATAACTTAAATCACTTGTGTATATTTCGAAGGTCAAGAGGTTTCTCAATCCCAAAACTGGAGTTAATTCGTATTTTACCCTTTTTTTGATTTTAAGTATACTAAGGCCGGTTAGCTGTATTGAAGAACCCCTTTCTTCATCCTTTTAGTCACATCAAAACATCTCTCTAATTTGTTGCAAAACCACATGTTTGGGGATTTGGTTTCTCAACTAATATGGGTCCAAATGGTGTGTCAGAGATAGAACTGAACCAAGTTTTCATGCATAGTTTTTTTATTTAATAGCACTTTTGGATGAATAACTATTGTCCTTTGGAGAGAGTCAAGTTTTTCAATACTATTTATTTAAGAAGAGTTATTTTTGTATCAGATTGCATTGATTCATTTCCGTGCTAATTCGAAGTTTTTGAATGATATTCTTTTATGAGTAACTATGGTCGTTTGGGGAGAGTCAAAGTTTTTCAGTACTAATTTATTCAACAAAATCTTGTTGAGCACAAAAAACTGCATTGCTTTGTTTCTGCACTAATTCTTTTAGGATCATATTACCTTCATACACATATCTGGATCCAACCCTTTGTTGCCTAACAAGCGAATCACAACTACTGTGGAGTGTATCAAGAATGAATCTCATGTAGAGCTAAAGTTGTTCGCGAACCTTTATATGAACATACAGCTTGGTCAGGATACTCTTCAATTAGCAGGGTTCTAACTCCTAAGTCCCACATTAAGTTGTGAGTTCTATTGCAAAAGAAACAATTCGAGCAGTTGAATATCTACTAATTTGTAGACATAATCAACATACAGTTCCTGGAAGCATGAAATCTCTACTAGGTGATAGGGAAAACTATAAAACACACTTTCTTTTGTATTCAGGACTGCATGACAATAATCATACATGAAGATGGATACCCTTAATTCCGGTTCTTTAGTGACAAACTTTGAACTTTGAAGCAAATGGTTAGTGCTCTAGTGAATAGAATACTTCATACAAGATCTATAGTTGATCAATAGGATACCTACTACCCTCTATTTATACTTCTTAGGGACTTCGTAATCCTGTAAATCCTTATGGAACAAACGTAAAGGTTCCTCTTTCAAATTTTTTACACATAAAGCAAGCTTGACTACTGCCATATGTTATAGGAGAATCAGTAACAGTTGCGGCTACATGAGAATGATAAACACACAAGACGATGAAGTTGCATGCTCACATAAAGTAAAGCTGGTTGACAAGTGAGTTTAACTTACACTTTTGTTCTGTAGAATTTCAGCTTCGATTTCCATTCCTTATGCAGCCGATCACGGAATTGTAGTATTAAGCTTTATTTTCCCCTCCTTAAAGACTACAAGAGAGTGTTTTGTTTAATTCGACTGGATCGGAAATTCTCATTGCTATAAGTAAACATTCTCTCAATATGTTAATGTAGGATTATAATAGCTATATAATCATCAATTGATGACCATGTTGTACAGTAGAGAGAAAATGACAAAACCCCACTTGTTAATCCTACTAATATTGTGAGTTGGACATAGATGGGTGGTCCTTTTGAGTGATGAGTAGTCACATGCCCCTCTAGTATAGCTTTAGTCATCAAACAGTCGGATAATTATTTCGCAATAACTGTTAAGGATTATGCAGTTGACAAGGAGAAACTGCCAGGAGCACATTACTTTTTACTTTGTCACAAGTCTGGTTATAAATTCCTTTATAGTACAACATGTTATTTTAAAGAGAGTAATGCCTTCATAAAATTCCTTAGATAGGTGGTCAGCTGTCTTATTGCCAGAGTTCACAATGGTTTGAATCTGTTTTCCTAAAAATTGGTTCGGTTGAATTACTTGATCTTGGAAAACTTTAGCTTGAATTTTAATGCAGTTGACAATAGCTTAAATTCCCCTACAAGTCAATCTAAATTTGTTTGGATTTGAGTTGTAGTTATTGTGTTTGAGCTGAGAAGGCGAGAACTGTGATGTATCAAGTGAGTCCTCTGTCCTCGAACATCATGANGCAAAACGCGTATCATAAGACTGGTAGTTTAAAAAGATCCTAAAACTCTTTTAACCATTATTTGAGCCGAGATTATATTGAACTAGGATTTAGCTTAAATTGAGCGACATGAACCGTGAGGATTTATATAGTCAATCCCAATTTGCTTGGAATTGAGTTGTTGTGTTTGAGCCGAGAAGGCGAGAACTGTGATGTATCAAGTGAGTCCTCTGTCCTCTAACATCATGACAAATTTCCCAAAACAGATGCCGAATGGAAAAGCCAAGTGATACAGGGAAAGAGGAGTAAAAGGAAAAGAAGAAAAAAAAAAAGACAAAAAGGAACTAGGTAATAAAAGGGCATAATCATCTTTGCGCTTAAAAGATGTCAACTAAGGTAAAAAGGCAAAACTTTGCTAATTTTACTCCTGGTCTCAAGGTAAGGGAAATCCTTTGGAATGGGAAACTCGATAAATAATGGGTTACCATGTTTTTGTCTGAGGTAGGATTTTTTTTAATCCCTCCCAATTCAGGAGGATTTATAGTGTTTCCACACTCCCCTCCAGCGTGACTCGAACTCAGGATCTAACGGTCGTGAGTGAAAGTGCTTTACCAACTGAACAAGTCTCACTTATCATGTGATAGGATTCAAACCTGTGACGTGCGTCTACATTGTGCCTATGCCCTCATCACTATATCAAAGCCGGGGGCCACACCTCCAAATTCTTCTTAGAACTGAAGCCTTTTTCTTTTCTTATTAAGCTTAATATAATCAAAATGACAGATTGATGATGTGTACTAAGAGGAAAGTCCCATGTTCCATGTCACTCATCGACGTGGAAAAATTATTTTATCGTACATATTACTATTACATAAAATCGAGAATAATAATTGATAAAGTTTAAAAATATGACTAGGATCAATGAATTGGAACGGAATGCATCATGCATGTGTAGAGCTGGTGCAAAATTGCAAAAGTAATTGGTTTTAAACAACGAACGGTCTCAATCAAACCGATCAAAAACAAAATAGATGGTTTGTCTTTTTTCGCCGCCCCTTTAGGTGGATAAAGGTAAGCAAATAGCAATATTTCAGCTGTTTGTGTTTTATTCTTTTTTCTTTTTCCCTTCTTCCTTAAATATGCAATAATGCATAGAAGAACAAGAAAAAGTGAGAGAGACATTTCACCACTTTGATGATTCAAAGATCGAATAAGTACATATCATAATGTATTGAGTTTATGTTTTATATACTTATGTTTTAAAAAGTATTTACACAATTGGATAACTTAAAAAATAATTACAGAAAAATCTCAATGATATGTACTAATTGATAACTTGATAAAATGGTGAATCGTCTAAACTTTTTTTACTCTAGCAGTAGAGGCGGAGTTAGGATTTGAAGTTTATAAATTCTGAAATTGCTACCGAACTTATAGTATTACTGGTTGAGTTTGTAATTGGTGCTTTACGTTTTGGTAATGCACTGCTCCTTGACTTGTTTAGTGCTACAATTAACTGATTTAGGTAGTGATATCTTGTTGATATTATCTTCTAAGCTTACGGAATTTCTGACTACGAGGGCTTGAATAGCACTCGCACACCAAAGGTGACATTCGATTGATATCTAATGTTTCCAATTATTTACCTAGCATGTGCTTCTATCTTTGTCTACATTTTCCACCTATTTTCGAAATTCATATGTTAGCTTACTTACGGGACTAATCCTACTATATGTAGTAAAAATGAAAATGAAATATAATAGGGTAGGGGAAGGAAAATAGGGCTGCTAATCAATCATGCCAAAAGGAGAAAAACTTATCCGCAGCCCCTACCCTGACTCAAACCAAACATTCTACTACAAAAATAGGCAACCATATCCAAGTAAAGTCATGAAGTATGTCCAGTTCAGAAAAAGACGTTAGTGCCTAAGTGTCACGTTCAGCAGGCCGCGCAATTTTAGATGGACGGCTTGCAACTTGATAGTTGATACGACTTGTTTTTGTTCCTTTCTTCTTTTGAGATTTGAGCTTTTATTTTTTACCATCTATTAGTAAATTCATTGATCGGAATGAGTATATCTTTTATAGTACAAACAGTATAAATCATCTTTTCCATCCAAGTTGTAGGGAGATGGATAAGATTCTTCTACCTTAGTTAGAGGTCACGGTTCGAGCCTTAGGAATAAAAAAAATCTGCTTTCTATTTCAATGTGCCTTAAGCGAATCTGGATTACTCAGTGCCTCAAAACAGATACCAAGCACATGCGAAACAAAAGAAAATATAAATTATCTTTGATTACTAATAACTAATCACTTAAGAATATTTAGGTGCATTAGAACAAGCAAGGGAAAGCCCCACAATTTGGTTATTTTCTCACCCTATCACTTTGTAGTGTCTTTTTTATATTTTTGTTTTCTCGTTCAATCGAATAATTTAGAAAAGTATATGCAATTGAAGATAGTCAAAGAAATTTAAATTTGAGTTTTGACTGTCTTTAAGAATAAGTGGAGATGATAGGCTGATTCATCCATTTAAAGTTATCCTGTCAGCAATTGTTGATGAGAAAAAATGGGGGCCCAAAAAGAATCTTAAGGTCAACAACATTGAGCTGGCGCAGTGTCATGTGGTCGTTTCGTATTGGGTGGTCCAAAGAAGGCCGACTCACCGCCCATTGGACCGAGGCCCCCACCACTCTGCTCCAATAATATCGGGTGAAATTCAAAAATACCCAGATTTATAAGTGATAATTGAAAAATAGCCATAATTTCAAAAGTAATCGAAATTTAACCACTTTTCATATGAAGATAAATTTGAACAAAAATACTGTTCAACATCCGGAAAATATTCTAGCATAATATACTATAGCATGAATTTTTTACATGTGAACTTCCAGCATAATATATTGGTCCAGTATAATATGCTGAAAGTTCATACACATGTGCTCCAATCTCCAGTATATTATATTGGAACTTTCCTTGTGTTGGAGTTCCAACATAATATGCTGGAAGTTCATACATAGGTGCACCAATCTCCAGTATATTATATTGGAACTTTCCTTGTGTTGGAGTTCCAACATAATATGCTGGAAGTTCATACATAGGTGCACCAATCTCCAGTATATTATGCTGGAACTTTTCGTGTTGCAGCAAAATAGTTATTATTTTTTAATGACTTTGCAAACGCTAACTATTTTTCAATTACCAGTCCGGAAACTAGCTAGCCCGTGCTATTTTCACCCCAATGGCCATCTATGTATTGCCAAGAAATTTATTTGCATATGTTCCTTCCTGTCCATTTTATTAATTTTTTGGCTTCTTTTGTAGTTCATAATATTTGATTTTTCTGAATATCAAGCAAGAATTAACTTTTTTTTTTCTAAAGTTGCCCTTAGAGTAAAGAGCTTAAGAGTATTTGTTATATTTCCAATGAATAAATTAAGGTTAATATAATCAATTTCATTGTTAATTAATACCAAAAAATGAAGTCCTTAATATATATGAAATAGCCACAAAATTAATTAAAGTGGACCGGAAAGAGTACATTAATAGATATATGATCAAGGGTGGGGCTACAACTGGCTAAGAATGATCAGTTTAATGAATACCTTTTAATTTTTCAAAAACAAAATTATTAAATATATAAATCATACATAGGTTTGCCCCAGTTGATAGGTGTTTGTAAATAAATTTTTAGCGTTTAACTATGATTAATTAATAGATATTATTTTATGGTTCCAAATTTGACCGACCTCAACCTATGACGAGCACGACAAACGACCAAGTACCTTCGAATCGGCATCCCAAGGGAGACGACCTTAGGGCGAAAAAAGAAACTGCACGACCCATGTAGTAGTGTAATCCCATTAGGGGCCATTAAGAATATTCCGCCGAATTTTCCCTGTATTTGGTTGCTTACAATTCCGAAGGGTTTTTCTCTAGTATATAAGGGGGAAAAAAGACCTTGTAAAGCGGGACTCTGGGAAACTTACCAATCTTGAATGAAAAGAAACTTTGCAACTCTCTTCTTTTTACCTATTATTATTCTAGAGATTATTAGCTTCAGCTACAATTTACCCCTTCATCTTCGATTGATTTGTTCAAAAAGGTCTTAACATCTTTTGAGTAAAATAATTTGGCGTTGTCTGTTGGGATTTTTATAGCTGAAATCATAGTTCTCATCTAAATTCCTGAAAGTGATAATTACTTTTCTTCAAACCTCATAAAAACCAACAATGGTGGGAAAGGAAGCGAGGCTGAAGGCGGTAGCAGATGTCTTGAATAATCTCCTAAACTCCCTCAACGAAGCCGTTAGAGAAGACAATGAGAATACAACACCAAGAGCTACACCGGAGGGGGAGATCTCACCTCTTCCACACGGAGATCTAACGATCTTGCGCGAAAGGGGAGCCTCAACATCCACGGTGGGGGAAGCACCACCAACAGTCAAAAAGCTACTTGAAGAATGGTTAACAAGTGCTTTGAGCAACATGCTCGAGAAACCCACTCAAGGAGATGTCGAAGACATATCACCTACAGAAATCTCAGCTACCGCCGATGAGCCAAGCGCTACACGAGCAGGTGACACACACACTGTTACTAATGCAGGTGACGGTGCATTTATGGCCATCCTAAAGAAAATGGAAGAGATGGAAAACAAGAACTAAACGTTATGCGACCAGATGAAGGAACATCAGGAGAGGGTCAACAAAATACCAGGTGCTCCGAAGCTATTACCAAAACGCGATATGGGCCGATTCGTCGAACAGCTTTATAGCGAAGGGGCTGCTCCACACTTTATTCCAAAGACCTTCAAAATGCTGCTATACTTAAAAATATATGACGGGACCACGGACCCGGAGGATCACTTAATCCATTATGTTACTGCAGTAAAGGGCAATGATTTATCAAAAGAATAGGAACCGTCTGTGCTGCTAAAGAAGTTCGGTGAGACCTTGACAGGTGGAGCATTGACATGGTACTCCCAGCTACGAGCGCGATCGATATCGACGTTCGAAGAGATGGCGGATAAATTCGCTACCTCTCATGCATGAGCGAAGAAGGCTAAGGCTAGGGTCAATGATATCTTCGCCGTCATGCAAACGACGGGGGAGGGACTTCGGGATTTCCTGGCCCGATTCAACAGAGTAAGGATGAGTCTACCGAACGTGTCAGAAGGGATGACATTAGCAGCCTTTCAAAATGGGTTAAACAGGAATGGGTCAAAGGCAACCAAAAAACTGCTTAGTAGACTCATGAAGTACCCCCTACCACATAGGAAGAGATCCACAATGCCTATTGCTCCGAGGTGAGGGCAGACGAGGACGACCTGAACGACCCACTTCAATAATTAACATCAGTCCAGACCAAGACGAGGAGAGATCGACGTAACAACGGGCGAAGAGATCAACCACCACATTTCAATTGCGAAAGGCATCAGCCCTATATCCGAACATCCAACCCGCCCCTTCCACGGCATGCGGACGCCATGCCACGACATGCTTCACCCCTCCACAACGAAAGAGGTATGCCTCCACTACTATTTGCTCATAATTTTTGTGTTTCCCCTTTAGAGATAGTGTACACACTGGAGAAGTTGGGCACGAAGGTGCAGTGGCCGCAAAAGATGAAATCGAATCCAAGCACCAGGAGGTCGAACGTCCTTTGTGAATTCCACCAAGAAAGAGGACACAAGACCGAAGATTGCATAGGTCTGCGGCAAGAAGTAGTTAGGATGTTGAACCAGTTGTACCTGAAAGAACTGCTAAGCGATAAAGGAAGGGCCAACTTCGCTCGAGGGCGCGACCCATCTCAAGGGCCTCCAAAGCCACCATCACCAGCCCGTACCATACAAATGACCATTGGGGGTGGTGATGACATGGTAATCAACCATGTGAAGTTCACCACCACGCACAAACTCAAACAGATAGTCGCCCACGAACGGTATGATGACCTTGAAGATAATATCATCTTCGATAAGTTAGATACTGACGGTTTGTCTTTCCCTCACTATGATGCTTTAGTTATAACTTTACGCATTGCTGATACCTATGTAAAAAGAATCATGGTGGATGACGGAAGTGGCGCGTGTATTGTTCACCCGCGAGTTCTCATGCAAATGAGGCTCGAGGATAAAATAATACTGTGTTACATAACACTAACGGGTTTTAATAATGCATTAGAGCGGACATCTGGAGAAATAGTGCTACCTGTCCTGGCAGGAGGGGTCTTCCTAGAAACAACATTCCGCATCATGAACCAGGAAACGGCCTACAACGCCATCATAGGACGACCATGGATGCACGCCATGCTAGCCGTCCCCTCAAGCTTCTATCAAGTCATCAAATTTCCCACCGCATGGGGGATATTCAGTATCCGAGGCGAGCCACGTACCGCCCAAGAATGCTACGGATCGTCCAAGATTGCACACACACAAAACAGCTAAAAGGGGCAAGTGCAGAAGCAAAGCAATCGGCCATGTCGGGCACCAAACCTGACATACAAGTAGAGGCCATCAAAGATCCGGACCTTGTAGAAGCTTGCAAGGAAACATGGAAGATCTTGACCCCGTCCAGCTAGAAAACATCGACTACACCAAAAAGGCATATGTTGGGCATAACCTCTCGGAGCCAGGTGAGTATCGTGAGTTTTTAACTAACAACGCCGATTTGTTTACTTTTTCCCACTCAGATATGCCAGGAATCCCAAGGGAGATCGCCACACATAAGCTGAATGTCGACCCAATCTATCCGCTGATACGACAAATAAGGAGGAAGTTCAATGCCATAATCAATGAGGCAGTCGGCGAGGAAGTTGATAAATTACTCGCCAACGGTTCCATCAAAGAACCAAAATACCCCTAGTGGGTCGCCAATGTGGTCATGGTCAAAAAGAAGAACGGGAAGTGGCGAATGTGTGTCGAATTCACTGAATTAAACAAAGCATGCCCGAAGGACTCTTTCCCATTACCCCATATCGACCAACTTATCGATGCAACAGCGGGACACGAACTGCTGAGCTTCCTGGACGCGTACTCCGGTTATAACAAAATTCTCATGGCTGAAGATGATCAAGAAAAGACTACTTTCATCACTCACCGAGGTACATACTGCAATAAGGTGATGTCGTTCGGGCTTAAGAACGCAGGGGCCACGTACCAAAGGTTAGTCACTAAAATGTTTAAAGAGCAACTCGGTAAGACAATGGAGGTTTACATCGATGACATGCTAGTGAAGTCGGCAAAGAAAGAAGATCACATTGGTCACCTGAAGGAAGCCTTCGAAATACTAAGGCAGTACGGAATGAAACTGAATCCTGAAAAGTGCGCCTTCGGCGTGACTTCTAGAAAGTTCCTCGGTTTCCTAGTGTCACAAATGGGAATCGAGGTCAACCCGGATCAAATCAAGGCCATCGACGCAATACCGGAAATACTGACCAGCAAAAAGCAGGTGTAGAAACTGATAGGACGAATAACCGCCCTATCAAGGTTCATTTCATGATCCTCGGATAGATGCCATAAATTCTTCAATGTACGAAGGAAAGACCACGGGCTGCAATGGAATGAGGAATGCATCGGCGCCCTGAAAAAGCTGAAAACATATCTATCCTCACCACCACTATTCGTCAAAGCGGACCCAAGTGAATGCCTACTTATGTATCTAGCAGTTTTCGAAGTTGCGGTAAGCGCAGTCTTAGTCCATGAAAATAAAGCTACGCAATCTCCGATTTACTATATCAGCAAAACCTTAATCGATGCCGAGACGAGGTACCCTCACCTTGAAAAACTAGCTCTGGCATTGGTCATAGCTTCATAGAAGCTTAGACCGTACTTCCAAGGTCACCCCATAAAAGTGGTGACAACCTTCCCTCTAAGGGGTATCCTACACAAACCCGAACTATCGGGTAGATTAGCAAATGGGCCATAGAACTAAGCAAGCACGACATAACGTACCAACCATGAACTGCCATCAAGTCGCAGGTGCTGGCAGACTTCGTCGCTGATTTTAGCACGAAAATATTGCCCGAGGTAGAATAGGAATCACTCAGCACTTCTATGCATACCGACCTCTGGGTCCTCTACACCGATGATGCCTTTAACGCCTCGGGATCGGGACTAGGACTCTTCCTCAAGGTCCCTACATGCGAAGTAATTCGCCAATCCATACGATGCCCCGAGGTGACTAACAACGAGGCCGAGTATAAAGCTGTGATTGCAGGTTTGAAGTTAGCCCTCAAATATTGCGCTCGACGACTCGTCCTCCACTGTGACTCCCAACTCGTGGTGAATCAGGTCACCAGGACTTTCCAAACAAAGAGCAGAGGCTGCAAAGATACCAGTCAGAAATCTACAAACTACTGCCAGAATTCGATGAATGTCGTCTCGACCAAATACTTAGGGCACAAAATATTGAAGCAGACGACCTCGCTAAACTAGCTGCGGCCACCAAGAATATCAACAAAGAAAATGTGGTCACCCTCCTTCATTCCGCAATAGACCACATCGAGGTACATTCTATAAACTTAACTTGGGACTGACGTAACCGCTCCGTAGCCTATTTGTAGAATGGAACGCTCTCGCAAGACAAAAAAGAAGCCAAAAAACTCCAAGTGCAGGCAGCCCGGTACAACCTAGTAAACGACGATCTCTACAAAAGAACGTTCGGCGCCCCCCTAGCCAAATGTCTTGGGCCACATCAAACAAGGGGAGTACTGGAAGAAGTGCACGAAGGGCACTATGGCGCCCACACGGGAAATCGCACCCTCGTCCGATGCCTCATTCGCACCGGGTACTACTGGCCCACCATGAAAAACGAAGCCGTCGACTATGTCAGGAGATGTGAACAATGTCAAAAGTACGCCCCTATGATACATCAAGCAAGAGAACTCCTTCATTCCGTCACTTCGCCATGGTCGTTCATAAAGTGGGGAATGGACATAGTTGGCCCCCTCCTAGCATGACGAGGTAAGGTACGCTTCCTTTTGGCCCGAACTACTACCGGAAGTATTATGGGCATACCGCACTACGCCAAAAACCAACACAGGAGAAAAGCCATATTCATTGGTCTACGGGACCGACCAAGTTATACCCGTCGAGGTCGGGGAACCCAGTTTGAGATACTCCAATGATAGCGGAACAGACAACGACGAAAGTAGGCTACAAGATTTGGATGAAGTTGAAGAACAAAGAGACATGACCCACATAAGAATGGTAGCCCAGAAGCACCAAGTAGAAAAATACTACAACAAGAGAGCCAAGGTGCGACCACTCAAAATTGGCGACTACGTCCTCAAGGCCAAAACACAAGCGTCAAAAGACCCTAATGAGGGAAAATTGGGAACGAACTGGGATGGACCGTACAAAATCGTAGCAGCAACAAACAAAGGAGCGTTCCAGCTAGAAACAATGGAGGGAAAACTACTCCAAAACAACTGGAACATCGCCATCTCAAGTACTTCCACTTCTACAAGAAGGCGTCACCTAAGTCGTACTCTTTTTCCCTCACCCGGGTTTTGTCCCAATCGGGTTTTCCCGGGGAGGTTTTTAACAAGGCGGCAAGGGGGGACACCTTAAGGAACGACATGCTGTTCATTACCTCGACCCTTCGATATGACATCCGGACCGAAGTAATGAAGGGACTACATATAGATAATCAAATCCCCATTGTATTTACGGAATCAAATCTCCATTGTATGTACAGAACTGGATCTCCACTAGTCGGCATGTGATGTCTTCCTACGGGAATACGATCAAATCTCCAACAATGAAAGTTCGACCTCGTTCGAACCACGACGAGATTCTACTTCGACAATGTAGACATGTAATTTTTGACCCTCCCCAAGATTTTTCATATTTTAGCACGTAAATATTTAATTTAGGCCCGATATAGCTATTTCAACTCATTTTCACTCTTTTACTCTATTTTATTACAAGAAAATGAAAATTACAAAAAATATTTTATTTTATGTACCTTTCATAAAGTAAAGGTAAAAAAAATACAAAAAATAGTATCTTATTTTTATCTTTATATAATCTTGAAAAATACAAAAAATATGTAATAGTTTCATGTTTTAATATAGTTTAGTTTAATTAATTAGAATTTATTTTTGCATCATGTAGTATAGTTATTTTATATTAAGGGAATTTAGTTATGGTTTTAAATAATAATTTTTGGAGTCTTCTTAGCCCAGAATTGAGACACAAAAAGACATGGTCCAGCCCAATTACCCTTAGCCTATTCTTCCCAACCCATTAGCCCACTTAAGTGCAAGATTTAATCCTAGCCATCTATTTCCTTCTAATCCAATGACCATCATCCCTTCCCACTTCCATATAAAATACCAATTATAGAAACCCTACCCTAAGTTTTCAATTCCTAATCTAGCTTACAAGACTAAAAACAAAAAGGAGAGCCACAGAACCCCAAAAACTTCCCCGTTTTTCTTTCACTTGAGACAAAAAGAGAGGTCAGCCACAATTGTTCCATCTCCAATATGGAGTTTGTTAAAATTATTACCTGAGGAAAGAAAAATGATAAATTTGAAGCTGGAACTGAACTTTTGAGATAAGGATTGGGTCGAGAAATTAGAAAGGTATTATCGGACAATTGAACTGCATTTGATGATATTGTCAGTGCCATTTTGAGCTATCAGCCCTTTATTTACTCCCTAGTATCTGGGATTTCGTCAATTAATTTGGTTTTCCGGTCAGTCCGAAGTTCCGTCTGAGGTCCCGACACGATTCATGTTTGCCGATTTTATTTCCCGTCGAAGGTCCCTGTGACTTTTCTCTTTGGTGAGTTGTTCGTTGGAGGATTTGTATTTATTTGAATATTGAAGAAAGTGTCAGACATTCAAGGTCCACCCTTTATCCATGTTATCTCATCAGGTTGATGAATGCTTTTTTTTGTTTGTGATAATATACATTTACGTTGTGACTCACTTAATTTATTCATTTTTCTTGATATTAATTGCTTCATTATTTGATCTATGGTAATGAATGTTTGATAATGGGATTTGGACCTAGTTTGTCAGATTAGTTTGGCTCTTAGTGTGAATTTGTTTGTCTTGGTGAGTGTAACTGAATTCCAATTTGGATATGACGATCTTTTCCTATCACGTTTTATAGTTTACGTTAGAAATTGGAGTATTCAATTTATTTCCTAAATGCCTGAACAATTAAGTATGATAAAAATATATGTTGAGTAGTATAAAATGGAATTTTAATATGATTTTAGTTTTCTTTTACTTTAAGTAGTTAGGTTGTTTAGGAAGGTGAAGTTTGTTGTTGTCAAGTTATATCGATGGGTTAGTTGAAAGAATGTGAGCCAAATTGAACAACCTCGCCTTACAAATATATCCTTATAAGATAAATCCTTTTGCTCTCATAATTGACTTCCATAACTCTTGGCCTCAATAATCTCAAATTAGCTTAGGAAAATAATCATG